GCATAATATAGTCTTATAAGCAATACTTCACAGTTTTCATCAAGAAATATCTCTATCCAGCGAATTAAATAATTTCATTTATTATCTGCAAAAACAAAACCATCGAAAAGGCATGTGATGTTTTAAAATGTATGGCTTTTTTATCTCAAGAACTTCGTAAAAGACATTAAAACAACAGCGAAACCATGTACAAATCAGCGCGCGACAGGGGAAACACGGAAACTGAATTGCCCAGAACACCGTAATACCAAGCCGCTTAGAAGAAATGGGGCAAACGCGAAACACCGAACAATGCCGCTTGAAAATCAAAAAACATAATGAAATAATTTGTTTGCTTTCAAAAGACTGAATTAGCAGTAAGATAATTCTTATTGCTTTGATCGGCTTAGCCAAAGTAAGTGTGCCTACGTAAACGTAAATGATGGCAGCATTCATGCAATTTGGATATTACTGAATCTTATACTGTGATAGAAGCTGACATAACATGACATAACAATAAACCGCATTTTCTAGCCTAAACTGTTAGTTTTAATTTTGGGCTGTTTTTTTTTTTATTATGATTTAAGCTTCGCTTAGTGACGATGTCAGTCAGGGGCGGTCACTGATGATGTCATTTGGCGCCGGTGTTCTGTCATAAAATACCATAGATATGATAAAATACTACCTATCGAGACGTGCTATCGAGCCTTTCTGCGCATGTGCAGTTCCACCGTCTTGGGATTAGGGTTAAGGTAAGGGGTTTTGGGGGGTTAGGGTAAGAGTTAGGGTTAGGGCTATCAATTAGCACTACGGTAGCATTTTTCGACAAGGCAGCATACAGTATATCGACAGAACACTGGTACCATTTTTTACGTCAGTGGAAAACCGACACGAAAGAAGTACCATACTTTCGGCCCTTTATGGAAGCGCCGAAAGTACGGTACCTGGTGCGGTGGAAAAAACGCCCTTGGTTATTGAATATGCTGTTTTATCCAAATTCAACTTATTTTTTTGTTTATAATATAGTACTATTAAATGATTTATTCCTTAGTAATACTGACTGATTTAGGATTTGGATTGTTTGTCTAATTTATAAATGAATAAATAGCATTATACTCTATTTTGTTTATGTTTGGGTTCTACATGGTTCAGCACTGGGATCACTTTTATTTAGTGTATATATAGTAGGTTTGGGGCCATTCTGGAATGCATTTATCAATTCCAATCCAAATCAGCAAATGGAACTGGAGTTGGAATTTAAATTTCCCTGACATTCAAATTCAATTCCAATTCTGTTCCCCATAGTTTTCTTCCAATCCCAACTCCAGTTTTATTTTCTGATTTGGACTGGAACTGATGAATGCATTCTGGAATGGCCCCAACCCTGATAGACAGTATAACCTTGGAACTTAAGTGCCTCTTAACTCAAGCAACTCGCACATCGAATGGGTCTGTTTAATTTTTTTCAACTTGCACCTCGGCCAAAATCTTGGAAACCGACTATTCCTACTAAAACTTGTATGTGTCGAGACGCGTTCAACCGAAAATTTGGAACACAGCAAAATAAAACAGTCCTGCTAGAATTTGTACCAATCAAGACGCGTCTATGATGGGCTGTCATATAGGCAAACTGACCTACTGGGAAGCTGATGCCTATGTATTGCTCTCAGTCTTGCGATACTTCTCGACTGAGTTTGACATGCGAAAGCTGTGTTCCTGTGTTTGGTGTGATTTTTTTTTTTTTGGTGCTTTATCTGCAGTACATTTAGTGATGCAGTAATCATGGCCCCTAAGAAAAATTAAATGAAAAATTAAAGTAAGTGAAACTATAGAACTAAAAAAGAAAATTATAGTGAGACTTGAGGGTGGTGCATGTGTGTCTGCTCTCGCTTCGGAGTGTGGGATTGTCATTTATTTTATGTTTATTGCTCTTGTATGTGTGCTTTTTCATGTATCTATTAGTTTTATATCGATTGTTAATGCTATTTTAAATAAGTATATTCTTATAGGGGAAATTCGACTTGGAACTCGACCAAATCACAACTCGACCAGTCTCCTGGAATGAATTAAGTTTGTATTCAAAGGTACCACTGTATAATTAATAAAGAGAAGAATCACATGCTGATTCAACAACCTTTTTTAAATTCCACTGCACACCAATCTCTTTCTATCAATAAGACACTATGCTTATATGTGTAAATGGACTGATCAAAAACAGATCTAAAAGCAATCAAAGATATATAACAGGTAAAAAAATTCCAGATTCTGAGGTTTAAAATTTAACTTGGCTGAAAGCATTAGGGTTTTCTTAATTTGGCTCTCCTTATATATTTTGAATAATTCTTTCTGAGGTATGAATTTAAGGCAGTTTCTTTCTGCTCAAGATACAGAAAATATACTTGCCTTTGTGTACAGCAGAGCGGAATATTGCAATGTCCTATTTTATGATGGGTCAGAATAGTCCCTTTTCTGTACTACAGGGAATTTAAAATACTGCGGCAAAGACTGCAATTAGAAGTAGAATATAATTACATTACACCAGTTTTCATCAGCCTCTATTACTTTCCTTGAAATTTGGAAAGGAGTAGAGAATAAAGAAAAGGGCCGCCAGAGAGTGCAAGAGGAAGCCAATCGACCATAAGCTGAAGAACCTCTGCAGAGAAGCCCTCATGCCAGATGTGCCCTGGCGCAGCATTTAAGAGCAGAATGATCACCCCACCAGTGCAGCTATCCTGGCATCTGTACCCCGCATTCCGCCTTGGCACCTCAAAGCTCAGTTTGAAGCTCATCAAAATCAGCAGAGAAGCTCCACTAACCCACTATGACCCCACTGTCTGATTAACACATATGTTTCCTAACCTATGAATTCGACTGGACACACCACGTGTTTCTTTTCACCTTTTTTAACATCTCCTTTGACTGTTTAGTAGCATACTAACTTAACTTTACACAATTTAATTGCTGTATTAGGTTTATAATATCATGACAGCACTTCTTGAAGCCAGTTCTGGATATGGGTACATGATTACTGCAGTATCTTTAAGCTGGCTATGCATCCATACTGTAATTAGTGGCAGCACCTGGCTCACATTGTCAGGCATTACTGATGAAGCAACAGATGGCGGTCGGTGAGGGTGACGTGTACGCGGTTGCGGGTCAGTCTGTATCCACATTGGCCACCGTTTTCCACTTATTCGAAAGTGATAGGTAAGTGAACCCAGTTTCCCTTCCATTCACGACTTACCGTCAATTAGCGAGTTCCTGGGAAGGCCTCCTCTGTTCGATCGCTCTGTGGTGAAATTTCAAACAGAAACTGAAGCAGTCGGTTCAATCGAATATTTATAGCACAAAATTAACGACACATCAGATGTCATTAGCATAAACAGAATTATTATATAATATCCTAATTATTAACACAGCTGCGTTTTCTTAACTTTTGATGTTAACGAGAAATATTATGTCTACCACGGATATGACTGTGGACCTAAAATTGATTAAATGTTCTGTAGCACCATCCAACCTAGCATCCGCTAACTCAAAGCGACCTTACTGAAAAAAACAACATTTCTTCTGGATAATCTACAACGCTTTGAGAACAGTTGCATTTACATAATACTCTGGGTTGCTGCAGGTTAAGTGAGCCTATATTTACAAGATTTTTTAGTTATTTCCTCGATATTCATTAAATAGAAGTTGATATATGATTCGGTGAATCTTGGCTCATACAAAACATTTTCATCACACACTGCAAACAAAATGATATAGAATAGTTACGTTTAAATCTATTTGTAGTCAACTTTATTGCCGCAACTTTAAATTGGTTAAAGCTTCACACGCATTTTACATCTAAATTTTACATCTAAATAACTTCTAAGTTGTACAGCATGGACGTTTAATTTCAATATATAAATTTGACGTGAATAGATTTGCAATACCTTTCCCTTGGAAACAATACTCTTTTATTGCGTGGTGGAAACGTTAAAATATGATATATACATTTGTTTGATGAATAAGCAAATAGGCGCAGTTGCGCTTCCCGTGAAAGTACGTTTTTGATTAATAGTGCGGCAGTTCTCTGTATATGTACATGTTTAATTACCGCATTCTAGCCTCTGCAAAGCGATTTCCGAGGAACGGGGGATTCTGCAAATGTGTTGCAGCGTGAGTTTCTGCATATAATGATACTAAAACTAGCATGTTTGTCATGTATACATTTTACTGTGTAGAAACAGAATTAAACATGCTTACGGTTTTAACCGTCGTCTTTAGTACTTATATCACATTGACTACATTCTACTGGATTCGTCATGGGATGTAATTCTGAAAAACAACATAAAACCAATATAGCCTAAGTGGGGGTGTTTTGGCTCCGGTATTAGGTAGAATTGTTGATTTGGTCGTGGATTCCGAGAACAATACATTAATAGCACAACTACTGCAAATCCTACGAGAATTTTCCCCTGGTTCTGTGTGTCATTGACCGTTTGGTGCCTGATCGGTCGGCAGACGTACGCGTCGATAGGTGCAGCGCGGTCTTACCTCTGACCGCGGACGCGTAGAGCACCACCAGTCCAGCCAGCGCGCAGCTGACCAGCAGCAGCAGCACGGACAGTCCCACCTCGGCCGCGCTCCACCGCCGCTTGCCCGGTTTACTTGATTTCTCCACTATATCCATTTGGCTTTCCGATTTACCCATTCTTGGCACGCTGAAAAAGTACCGGTATTTAGGCAGTGGGGGAGATTAAAAGAGCCAGTGATGGAATACACTTATGCGCAAAGAGCCGTACGCGTGTGACGGAGCAGTCAGCGGAGTTCATTAGCAATAATCTGTACAATTACCTGAAATTTATTTTCGAGGCGTGCCGTTTAATAATGACCCTAAACATCCGATTATTATGGATATCTGTCCTGTTTGATCACCGTTTTGCCTGCCGGCTTAAGTAGGCTAACTGGTGAATTAGGTACCAACCCATTAACAAGACTGGTTTTGGCGTGGGAGGTATCGGAAGGGATGACAGAAGCCGGTGAACCTTCTCAGTTGTCTCTAATGGACATGTATGAACTGCTCTTCACACTGGCCGGTTACGGGAAATTACCAACTAGTTCACCTTTACAAAAATCGAACCATGGTAAAAGCTTTTGGACTGGATGCTTCTGTCTTGTAGTAGACTACTTGTTAAAGTTATATTTAAATAGATATAAATCCCACATGTGTAAAAGAAAACAATGATATTATTATTAATAGTTACAATTATATATTTTTTATTAATAATACTAATAATAGAAGTGATATTGTAATATTATGTAGGCCTATACTCGCCGAAGCAATGAAACCAGAGCAGAAAATAACTAGTCGCTTTAATAAGAAACGTGGGCAGCAGGTTATTTCTGCCGGATGCGTCTACGGTAATAAAAGTGACAGCAGTTTTAGCTTTTAAAGGGAAAAACATAATTGTACAGTTTCGACCAACCAATAATGTTATTACACAAATATTAACAGCAGAGGGCTGGAGATATCAAGGACGGGAGATGAAGCGGCGGACACTTTCTACCTGTCGGTTTTGAAATGGTGTTTGAAATGGTTTCAACTTCAATAGAAGGCAGACACTCCAGTTACCTGCCATTTACGAAAAATAGGCCTACATTTATTTATTTACTGCGGTCGGCTTGCAATCTACGTAATTTTTGGATATCCTCTGCAAAACGAGAGGATGCTGCCGTATCCTACTAAATCACTGTACGATAATCGAATCGACAGGTTACCTGATTTTATACCTATGACTTTAATCCTAATTTAAGAATTCTGAATTTTGGATTCGTGTTTTTCCCAGTAATATTTCATGTCTAATATGTGAAATACGTAGAATTATAAGTGTGTTTATAATAATAGTTTAAAATAATCGTTTCTATATCGTTATTAAGGCAGAGTAGGGACGCGTAATGAATATAATTATAGGATAGCAGGTGTCTGTCGACCGTGCCTCTACCGGCCTGTTGCGCTCCTGTCACCGCGGAGACGAACGGCACTGCGGATAATAAACAGCGGCTGCTCCTTCATTAGCCGCCCCTCATGAATACTCATGGGCACAAATCTGGCAGCGGAGTGATGGATGCGTTTGGGGGGGGGTTGCACTCTGGCTACCTGATTTTATACCTGTAACACCTGCTTCTTGCTTTGCTCCTTCCTGACACAAGCTGAAATCAAATATAGAATCCATGAAGCACACATACACTTTGATATACGCATTCATCCCCTGGGATAGTATGTACTAGGTGACTCTGTACTTATATGCAGAAGGTCTCTGCTTAGCTCTTCCCTCGGCTGAAAATCACAGTTGAGCCATATCTGTGGGCCGCACTGTTGAGCACAGCGTTACCCGTTTGCTCAGTGCCCCGCATGCCAGCGAAAACGTGGTGAAAGGCACAGAAAAGGCCATATTAGTGCAGTGCAAATTACAATATTTTTGTAAAACATTTCATAAGTTTCCCCTTTAAAAATGTTGAAAATTTCCTGTACCACAGATCGGGGGGGGTCACAATACATCTCGACTCCAGGGGAGAAGATGTATCTCTGAGGAGCATAAATCTCAACATTCTGGCGAATGAACCTGATCAGGATTCCAATTTCACATTGGCAACGTGCAAGGTGTTGATTAAGGTTCCTGCTTCCCTACCTGCCCGCTGAGAACAGAAGTCCCTTCTTCCGGGCCCAGTGTCCAGGGTGGTTCCGTGTCGTAAGTTGTTCCTTCCTTGGCCTCCCCCCTTTTTTTTCCAGATTTTCAGATCCTCAGCCCCCGAGCAAGTGGCCCCCACAGCGCCATCGCCCACCCAAAGACGCCGAGCTGGGGTGATGGGCCAGCGCACCTGTGCTGGTGTGATTCTGATAAAGTGAGCGAGAGAGGAGCAGGGATGGTGCGGGGGGGCGGAAGGGTCGGACAGAGAGGCTGTGCAGCTCGTGCCATGGTGAGGGAGGGAGAGGGAGAGAGGGATAGAGGCAGTGAGCGAGAGAGAGCAGCTATGATAATAAGTAATCAGGAGGGGCATGGTGGTACAGCGTGGAGGAACGAGGGAGTGATGGAGGGACAGGAGAAGGGAAAAAGAGGGGAAAAGAGAAAAGAGGGGATGCTGAGGCGAGAGAAACTGCTGCTTCTTCTCCCACTTCCTACCAGTCTCGCCCTGCGTCTCCCCCCCCCCCCCCAAACACACACACACAAATACACAGTGCTTCTCCTTGAGGATTCTCAGCTGTTCCGTGAAAGAGAAGGAAAAAAAATGACATGCACGGGGGAGGGGCTGTTGTGAGTGCAGGCGGGATGGGAGATGGGAGGAAGAAGTCGGCATGATGAAAGGATGATGGAACAGAAAGAGGACAAGGCGCCTCGCAGGAGCCTGGTACCATCAAAACCCTGTGTTCCAAATGAGCCTCTGAGGGACGATAGTGGGTCAGGTCCGGGTTCAGCTTCAGGTCTATTCTTCAACTCTCGCCTCCCACCCACAGGGAAACGAATCGCAAAGCGATCCAATCCAATCCGGCCCAGGTGCCAGACCAAGATGGCACAGTTCCCAGCGCAAGCTGCTGCTGCGGTTTCCCAGCTGATTAAGGGCTTGATTAAACATTGTAATTAGCACCCGCTCTACCAAGCAAAGCCAGCCAGCGCCAGATATTCACTGATGGTTCTCCTGTCTGTCCTGAAGGGGACTGAGCCCTTCACGCACCCCCAGTAACTGAGAGCTGAGCTGGGCCCTTCAAAGCTGCAGAGAAAGATCCCTTAGATCAGTGTTTCTCAAACCAGTCGTCAGGGACACCAGTCGGTCTACATTTTTGCTCCCTCCCAATTCCATGAGAGTCAGGGGGGGTCCCTGAGGACTGCTTTGAGAAACACTGCCTTAGTTCCATCATAGAAGTTCTGAATTGCAGTATTGATTCCTGACTCAAAAGGAGGCTTGAAACCCACAGTGGACAAGATTTACAAGCCCCATCAATCACTGATTAGTTTAACTCAACGGAAGCCAACAAGTGGTTAAACTGGTTTGCGCCTGATAGCTGGATAACTCCACCCATCATGTTTCAAGCCCCCACTTTGAACAGTAATCAGGCTGTTTGTGTCGTCCATTTAAATGGCATGTCCACCTTAGAGTCCCTTCCCATTCTGGGGTTCTACATACCACATCGATATGGTGTTGCTGCGTGGGATGAACCAGGGATGTTTATCTCAGAGCCAAAATAATTTATTTGAACCATACTGTGCATCCTTCATCTATGCATCACCCATAACAATTTTTCAAGGTTGGGGTTGCAATGTGCTTGGAGTCTTTCTCAAGTAGCACGAGGAAAAATGTAGGTAGGGAATGCCAGTCCATTGCTGAGCAGAAGACAGGAAACATAGTCACAAATTATGGGCAATTTAGAAACACCGGTTTGCCTACCTGCATATTTTTGGGTTCTAGGAGGAAACTGCAGTACCTGGACCAATGCTGGGTAAGGGTGAGAGGCTACAGTGCTAGCTACAGTGCTAACATGCTGCTCTATAGCATAAACAATCATCCATCTTCCAATCAATTATCCAGTAGAGGGTGGTACTATTATAATTAAAAGCATGGAGTCAGCAGTTAATCCTCAGTGCTTCAGAATCTCATAATTATGCGGAAAACATTTTCAGCAACATGTCAGAATGAGAGTCGTACGCAGTCTATAATCTTACTGAATGTGGGTATTGTTCCAAAGACTTTATTCCACTATGTTGCCTCTCTTCTGTATCGGCGTGAGTACAGTCAGTCTTTAGCCTCTTTGTCTTATTCATTTGTTTGTTTTTTATCCTTGGAGAGTGAACAAATATGCACTGTAGATGCAAACAACAATGAACAAATCTTTTGCCGTGTAACTGAAAAGCTGGCAGTACCATACATTCGTCTGTGATGTCATTTCTGGTTCGAGACTGCAGACTATGTTTTGTGAGTAAATGTATGGTGGCCTAGTGGTTTCCGCCTGCTCCTTTTCAGTCTAGCCCGTTCACCACTGACTTAATCACTGACTTTATCTGTTAATCACACATACTACATATGCGCAAGACCTAAAGAATTCCAATGTATCTCAACTCGTACTTTCTCAAATGGCAAATAAAGCATAATTTCCTTTCATTCTCTGTTAGCATTCAAGTACATTTCTGTTTCTCTTAGGAGCCATGAGGAATTGCAATTATCAGATGTGCTTCTGATTAAAAAATATCAGAATTAATATGTTAATTAGGTAGAAGAGTTAATGAATGACACCAACCATCCATCCATCTGTCCCTACTGTCCATACCCAAAACTATGCCCTTGACTCTATGTAGGTGTCGTTTTAATGATTCATTTTACCTTTCAGTGCCTGTGTTACAGTGAAATATTTTTTCTATTGCACTGACTTTCATTTCCTTTTTAATTAAAATTTATGTGGCACTCCAGGTGAAAATAGGCTCACACAGCTCTCCTCTGTGAATGGTGGGCAGTTTGTGCTTTATTTAAAAAGTAAATAAAAACAGTTGTTGAATTTCAACATTTCAAAGATGTATACATTTTTCATTTGTCTCTTCTGTTAAGTCAGTGAAAACAAGCAAGTTAAATAGCAGTTTATGGGCATATTTTACCGACTAACTCAAAATTTATTTGGTATGAATCCGCGGAGGATCTCGTCCCGGTAACGTATTGCCAATTCGCTCTCCTGCTTGGTCTGGAGGGCTTAATGTATTTGCTGAAATGGGATCCTTTTGATGGGGCATGTTTGTCATTCCGTCTCGCTAATGCCTGGACTTATCTTTCCAGGCAGCCCACGACCAGTCATTCGTTCCGCAACAGTGTCTCTTAATTGTTTACTGGCACAGGAGAACAAATTTGGTCATTAAGGGATCTATTAGTAGCACAACCTACATGCCTTGAATGTTTGTGCCAGCCGGGGCTGAAAGTAAATAAGCTCAGCGTCTCGATGATTACGTGCTTTGAAAAACAAGGCCTGAAAGCTTTTTCATTATGCTCCTCTGGGACCGTTAGTGTCTTTGAGAAACACGTTGACAGGAACGTTGGCAGAAAAGTCTGAGCCACCT